CAAACAGATTAAAAATTTTTGGAAGTGTGTTGGTTTCCATTCCTATGCTTTTGAAGCTTTGGGCATAGAAGGTTTAGGATTCAAAGGTTTAGAGCCTTAGAAAAATTTAGCCTTCATTTATAGCATTCATCCCTTTTTTTATTTGAGTACATGCTGTGTACTTTCCTGATGATTATTATATAGAATCTAACTGGCTAAAAATAAATAGTTGTGCCAGGTCCACTTCCTGAATGCTCAACTAAGAGCTCAGACTTCATCCTTCAAAAAAATGGGCTGCCTAGTGAATCAAATAAGACTGATGAAACTCTCCAGTGACATTAAAAAAAACTTCCCATAGGCACAGGGTTGTTTAGACCTTGAAGTTCTTAGTTGTGACCACAGAAAGCGGAACTAAGGCAACATTTTCTGTAGCAAAAATAAATAAATAAATGTTAGATAACAAGAGCTCGACTTTGGCACTGTTTTGATCAATGGATGGTTTCCATGAAAAAATACATTCAAATTGTCGCAGAGTATGCTTAACATTGCTCAAGTGTTGTAAAATGATGGGGTTATACCAGCAAAAAAAAGTTCGAATTTGTTTAATTCTGTTGAATCTAGTTCAAAAAGTCTTGAAACTGATGAACCAACCCATGTATATTTATGTAAACAAAGTTCAGAAGTTTGGAACACTTATTTTTAACATGTTTTCCCCTACATTAATTTCCATCAGTGATATTTGTACCAAACTGCAGTTTTGTATCCCTGAAGATTTTTCAATGCATGGGATAATTGAGGTGAGGGATTTTTCTCTCAATCCTGCAGCATTGCCTCATGCTGCCCAATATGAAAATTATAAGGTGTGCTGAATGCACATTTCTCCCATGCTTCACTATATAATACTTGAATATTGCCAACTTGTTTATAGGTCTCAGGAGGTGCTTTTTCTGAATTTCTTGCTGTGCAAGAAATACAAGTGGGGAATACAATTTTTTTGCCTCTTTTGCATGAAAGGGAAAATCTCAGTGAATTTTGTCCAAGTGCTGGGACTGCTGAAAAGTTGGGGAAAAAGAACTCACTTATGAAAATAGAAATAGTGTAAATGAGTTGAGTAATTGAATCACACATGCAAAAAAATGCCAATACGCACAAGAAAATTATTAACCAATGCTGGGTGAAAATTTAAAATTTTTCATTCAATTTGGCCATACAGGTTTTTATGCATAGCAAATTCATGCATTTTTCTTCTGGGGAGAAATTTTTTTCAGGCTCTGCATTGAATTTCTTCATATATAACCAAAAAGCATGAGCATATCTCAAAATCAGAGGTGATACTGGGTAAATGACCTTATTTACCATAAATGAGAAGTAAAAATATGGAAAAAGAAAATTTTTCCCAGTGGATCGTGAAACTTTCTATTTTTTACTTTTCCAATAGTGGAAAAATTTTTACTGTGAATATGTTGTAGCCTTTGGGTCAAAGTGGATGATCAAGAATGTTTTTCTAAAATGCTGTATTTAAAAGTTTTTAGCAGAAATTTTTTTAATTTAAAATATAGACTTTTTCTTCACTGTGAATTTTTTGTGAGGAATTTTTGGCTTATGCTTCAACTGGCTTTATGCTTCATATATTCTTTTGATTGAATATAATCCAGTGAAATCGAGGTTGATGAACTTGATCAAACCATTTCTTTTAGTTCAGGAATGGTGTATGTATTTTTTTACACAAAAAATCAAACAAGCACTTTGACAGCAATTGCCATTGCATACAATTTTTTTGAATTTTTGATCTATGGGTGAATCAAATACAATATCTGAATATCTCAAACACTTACGTATCCTGGAGTACATTGCATTAAAATTGAATCAAACACAGTATCTTAATATGTCACACAATTACGTATCATAGAGTACATTGGATTAAAATTATTCAGCTATAGCCCATCATTGCCAATTCTTTCATCTGGGGATGTCTGCAAAAATCTGTTGAATCAGGATTCAGGATTGCAAGTACAGTACTCTGAAGGCTTTTTGCAAAAAATTGATTGAAATATTGGCTTGCAGTGTTAGAGTGAATTGGGTAGAGAAGTGTTCACAGCAGTATATACACTGGAATTTTGTTCCTGCCAGTTTTTTTTTGCTGTGGTATTCCAATCCTATTCCGCATCCTGCGTCCCCAGAATGCTATGATGAAAATCACGGTATCAGAGACAAAAATCTGGGAGTCAGGAGGCGAGGAGAAGGGGACTTTTTTTTGCCAATTTTATGGAGCCAGATAAGAAGTGTAAGTGTTTTGTGGGATTGACCCTCTTTGGTGCCTGGGATACCTGTATATTCTTTTTTTTAACAATGTCATCAGCCCACTTAAAATGCATACTGGAGCTAATTTGTCACAACATCAAAAGATATCAGGAGATCAGGAAGTTTCAGAAGTTGGCATATGGAGGATGGCATATCCCACCTCCTGGCAAAACCCACCTGGTGGCTACTAAATCACCTTAATCCCACAGCCCCTATTCATCTCATTGTCCCCACTTTTGGTGGGTCACTTCCTTCAAATTGAAGAAATGAAATGACTATAATGTTTTTAAAGCTTTAAAATAAGAATCAATTACATTAATTTTGAATTATGTTCTAAAAACTGAACAAATTGATACCAAACAATGGGTGCATCCCTTCAAGTCAAAGAAATTGCCCCTTTGAGAAAATCCAGTTCCCACTTCTGCATGCACTTGACATTAATGTTGTAAGGAAATTACAGAACTGGATTTTCCTTGACACCTAGCTTCCTGTTCCAAAGGAAAATCCAGTCCAGTTCACAGTCTTCAGAACTGGATTTGCCTTCCAATTTTTTTCATCAGGGATGCCTAGCATCCTGGACTGAATGCACCATTTCCTTGGATGTGTTCCTCTACCGAGTCTAGCCCACATGTGTGCAGAAATAGCAATAACAGCCCCCCCCCCTTCTTGGACAAGTGTGTGAAAATGTTCTGCAATTTTTTATGCCAGTCCCTCATACAAGTGTGCCTTTGATGTATTTTTCCCCTCAAAGGTACTCCCCAGCCCAAATGTGTGCAGAAATAGCAGCCACCCCCCTCCTCAAACAGGTGCTTGAAAGTTTTCTTCAATTTTTTATCAATAAAAATCTGGAGGCCCAAAAATCCTTTAGTTCTAAAAATCTTGTGTGGGGTCTGAGAGTGGGGTCATGGAGTGTCAAAAAGTTTAAGTGCACAGGAATCTAGGAAGGAGGTTTCTTCCTTATTCATGACATTACCCTGCTGGTTGACCCCATACTGAAGATGGAACCCAAGCTCATTCCATCCCAAATGGTAAGCCATTTAATCCCCTTTGTCGTTGGGTTGGTGCGCCACCCAAACTGACCAGCTTAATTCTTTTGTAATTTCTTGGAATGGGTGGAAGCTTTACATGAGATTTGGCGCAATACAAAATTTTGAAACTCTTCAATTTTTAAAAATTGCTTTCCCTCTCTAACAGCCAAACAAAATGATACCAAATAACATATGTTTTGTAAATTTATAGGAAGCAGAATAAAAAAAATCCCTGACCACCCAGGTTCTGTTTTTGTGATTTCTTGAAACAGGTGGCAGCTTTCCATGAATTTTGGCACCATATGCATTTTTTTAACTCTTTGAACATTGAAAATTGCTTTCTTTCTCAAAAAAACAAAGAAAATGATACCAAATAACCAATCAAGGTTTTAAAAAATTAATGTGAGACACAAAAGAAATATGAACACATTGCTGCTGGCTTCAACAAAAAATATATATAGGGCAGTAGAATGTCATTTTCAGATGCCAAATTAGTTTTTACACATTTTTGTACCAGATGAATAAATGCTATAGAGGTTGAGTGAAAAGTGACTTAAACACTGGAGAAAAATGTTGGCTCCAGCTTTAGGGCTATTGGATGCAACTTGCATTTTCCCCAGGCAGTTTCTGAAGAGGGTGCACAAACAGAACATGGAATTTTATTGTCAGATGCTAAAATGTAAGTACTTAATGATATGACTTTCACAGTTTGACCATTCCTAATTATATTTATATCCCACTCATACAGTTTAAAAAATGGTATTATGGTAAATAATACCATAATGGTAAATGGTATTCCAAAACAGACCAAACCACACAAAATGCAGTGTAAAAGTGTCAAGCACCATGATTACTGTAAAAACTGCAAAAGGATTAAGCACATAAGTAAGTGTTTACTGTGTTGAGAAGACAGGAAGCCAGCCCACCTACACAGCAAAAATCACCAGAACACATCCAGAGGGGAAAATTCTACTCATTTTAGTATAGAGGACACTAGCATGCTGAATTAACATGAAGTCATTTTGAACACTTGTATATGAATGGATGAATCCAACAAGGTACTGTAGCACTCAGAGTAGTAAGGTACTGTACACTACACTCAGAGAATCCCTAACTTCTGGCATTTAAGCCCTTCTACATTAACAATTATTCCCTAATTGCAAATTTCCTATTTTTTAAATGCCCAGATTTATCACATTTCATTACTACCAAGTCAACTAAGGAAACATAACACAAATTGTATATTGTTTAAACAAACTAATGCATACTATACTGGACAATAGAGAAGTCTAAAAATAATCTTCAGCATGCATTCCATTGAAAGTTTTAATAGAGCAATGAGTGCAGTGTGAGTCCTACACCGTTTCTTCCCAAAACAGCCAGGCTCCACTTTCTGAAGTTGCTGAAGCATGCGCACAAGAGAGGGACTGCAGCTGCATGGGGAGTGAGGCAGGGGGAAGGGGGAGCAGCGTAAATTCGGCAGCTCATATGTGAGCTCCGGCGAGAAGTCCACTCACGGGCTCTATCATAGTAAATGTGTAACAAATCATGCTCGAAGTTTATGCTATAATTAACCTACAAATGGGTATGTTGTATTGCATAAAATTAAGGCGTTTAATGCTTCGCTGAATCTTCCCATGAAAAGTTCAAGTAAATTGTCAACTGCTTTGCTCAAGGAAAACGAGTGCAGAGTGACAACACTGTATACTTTTGTGTACTGTATTTCCCTTTCCTGGAAGCATGTTAACATCCCGAAGCATCTCAACGAACGTCTAGAAAATATCAACGCGATTGTTCATCATTTTTATCCACACAAATCCTTTTGACCAGTTTGAGGAAAAATAACGGCTCTTTTCAATAAAAGCCACCAAATATCAACATGTTTCATATCAGACCGGAAAAGTTTCCCCAAAGCCGTGCAAGCAGCAAAAATGAACGAAAAGTACGACAGCATTTAGGCCCAATTTCTTGTCCAAAAAGGCGATTTGCGGTCCATTCACTGGTAATCAGTCGTCATCCGCAAATATTGTTTCCCAGACGGAACTTCCTTGAGCTCATAGCCATTTGGGAATAGTTTGTCCGCCTCTTCTTTTGACAAAGACGGAACAACCATCGCTGGATCCCCCATCTTTTCGCATAAAAAAGTATGGTAGTAATCATTTTTGAAGATCCTTACACAACAAATGTAGCAATTCACTGGAGTTTCGAGAAAAAAAAGCCTCGAATTGGAAATTAACAGAAATTTTGTAAAATGAGAGGTTCCCCTGAAATTTGGCGTTCTTCTTCAAAATTCAACTGGGTTTTTGCACAAAATCAATCAACGAATTTCACTTTAATAAAAATTACTTTTCCATTTCAAACATTGCAATTTTTTCCCTTGGATCATCTCATTCGTAAGTCAGAAAATGGCGCTGAATCAAGATTTGAATCAACGCAAGAACCACAAACTTTCCGAATTAAACCAAATATTTTTTTGTAAATGTGTAAGAACTCACCTTCCAATCGGCCGGCGTGGCTACTTTCTTCGCAGCCGTCAATTTCAGGGAATCAATGACACGCAAAAGCTCCCTAAGAACACAATAATTGAAATTTCAATAAAGAAATAACCCTGGTCAACGGATCATCCACACGTAATTTTGTGAACTTTTACAAGGAAACGACGTGACGTACACAAAGTTTCTCCCAGTTGTAGCAGGATAAAGAATTGAAAGTTTCAACTTCTTGTCGGGTCCAATAATGAAAACAGCCCTTGCAGGGAGCGGAATGCCCTCCTTATCAATTTCATCAGGGTCCAGCATTTGAAACTTCACAGCCAATTCACGCTTCGGATCCGCAATTATAGGAATCTTGAAATCACCTTCGTTCAAACTCGAGGAAAGTCCTTCGATATCCTTCAAAAATTCGTTACCGCGTAATGAGAATAATCCTACTTCTGCATCTTCATATCTGACAATGGAAGAGACATCGGGATCTGGCAGACATACCTTAATCCAACCTTGGTGAGATTCAACCGGATCACACGACATGGCAATTAGTTTGATTCCTCGTTTCTGGAATTCTGAGTGTAGTTCCGCAGCTCGTCCAAGTTCTGTAGTGCATACCGGTGTGAAATCAGCCGGATGGGAGAAAAACATACACCACCTAAAAAGTAATCATTGCACATTAATTCAGAATAAGACGCACCACACTTGAATAAGGCATATACACTCACGAATCCCCAAGCCAATCGTAGAATTTGATGGGACCCTCGTTTGTTTCAGCTTCAAAGTTCGGGAACTGGTCACCAAGCTTCATGATTGAACAGCTCACTTAGTTTGCAATGAAATCTTGGGAAAAGTAGATACGCATACGGATTACAGCAGTGAAAACAATAAAGAAGTCCTCAGAATAATCCTCAAGAACGGTCACAATTTCTTCATAAATTCCACCATACAAGATACAGAAATTCTCGGAGTCTATGGTCCACCTTGCACCAGAGTTGAGGCTACTTCTGATCGGGTCAGGTGTACCCTCAGTTGTATCTATGAGTTGGTTCCTATAGAGGTTGCTCCGTGAGGGGATACCGTACTAAAACAAAATTTCACCAGCACTTGCTTCAATAAGAAAAAAGGCAGGTACACGCCAGAGAGGGAAGATGTTGAAGCTGTTATCACCCTAAATTATTCGGGCTGATCGCAGAAATGCCGGGAGTACTGAAGCAGAACACAAGTTTACATCCACGCGCTGGCGATGAACATACATTTACTCTCGAGAGGAAAATCGATCACTGAAGAGGCATGAATTTAATCTAATTCCAAGAAGAGAAACAAAGAAATTTCTTTGCCCTTGAACTATTATTCCAACTCCTTCCACACAATTCCTGAACAGATCGAAACTGTAGTTACAAACATGTCTGCCTCCCAAGGACAGGAAAAATGCCTTGAAAATATCCCTTGTCATTTATTTGAAAAATGCAATCACATCCAAAGTTGAAAATTAAAGCAAAAATTGCTTGACTTAAACTTTATTTTGCAACACAGGTTGCAATATATTGCTAATATAAAGGTTGCATGTAAGTATTTGTAAAAGAAAAATTATGTAAAATAGCTGCACCCGGATATTACTGAGCCAAAGGGTTGGTCGTTAGTTCCAAGGGTTGACACGCCTTCCCGCGGTCACACTCAATGCTGGAACTGCGTTTTATAACCGGTTACGCCTGTCCGCTGTTCTGCTGCATGCAAGATGCATGTGAATTCCTTGCATAAATAAATGATCAGCACACATGGCACAGGAAGCAGCATTTCGCTTTATGCTTTATATATACACCGTTATATACACAAGAACAAAATATTTCTGTGGATTCATCCCCGCGTACGTCATATATGCTTTCGAATATCGAAATCCGTGTGGCGTCAACTGAACAAAAATAATTGATAAAGCTTAAGATGAACTGCTGTTAAGAAATTGCTTCAGGAGAGATAAGCAGCAGTGAGAATACATATACATATATGCTGGTAATACTATGGGGTATTTTCAAATTTTGTAACTCATGAATGAATATTTTTTACATCAATGAATCAATCTTTTTTTTGATGAAAATCCCTTTAGTGTTTGAGCAATATTATAAACCTATATAAACTTAATTTGTTTCATGATCTCAAGTTTCTGTAAAACAAGAATGGCCTCTGCTGCTGCTGTATTGCACTCAAGCCCATACATGTAGTTTTGAACTTGAATTTTATCTTTAAACCCTTATTGAACCTGCTTGTGTATATATGCTGCATACTGACCCTGCTATATATAGACTGATATATCTTTCATTGTCTAGAAAGTTACTTGAGGTGTCAATGTTCAATTATTCTCGCTCCAGAATGGGCTGGAAATTCTTACTTTGAGAATGCATTCAGGATTCCAAGTTTTCTGCATGTTCACATGAAAATAATCTAAAAACATTCAAAAAGTATAGTGTGTTAGATATTTTTTGCTTTTTCAGGTACAATAGTTGGATGAAAGTTTAAAAGTTCAAAAATAAAAAAAATCATTACAAAATACTGATTGATTTTTACAATGTCCTCTTTTAAAATAAAGATGCTGCCATTTTTGCCATCACATTACAGCAGACACTGGGTTCAGAGTGTGATTATTGATTTTAAAAGATGTTCAAAACAGATCAAAGGCTTATATACTCATTGACTATACAGTTTTATTCTCATAAGGAAACATAGCGTTATTGAAAAAATCATAGGTTTAAAAAATGCCCACAATACACAGACACTACTGGACTGAGTATTTAGCAATGATTTGTATAATTCAACTTGCAACATAGTGTAAAAGACCTGTATATATACCTGCTGCTCAGCCATGTTTCTTGGTTCAGATATCAGCACACTCAAAAATTTGTGCAAGGTATCCATTTTCTGATTATGACCAAAAAAATGTTCATCACTTCATTGCACCATTTTCATAACAATAAATGTAATGCATGTACATTTAATTCAGATGCGTCACTGCATTCACTTTTGCATTCTCCTTTTCCTTGAGGGTTTGAAGAGCTTTATTGCTGTTCTCCACAAATTCCTGCAAAGAATAGCCAATTTTCAATTTCTAAACATTTAAATTGATAATTGATAAATAAGTTTGATGTTATAAACTGACCATCAGCCCTTTACTCATGTAATAAGGCCTTTGAACTCCATCATTTCTCTCACAATCCTCACAGAAACAAAGGAACAGTGTGTCCACTGTCATCTGTTAAAGAAAAATATTAATATTTTTGAATGCCTTGTACTTATATGGTCAAAATGCACTCTTCTCTCACCTCATATATGGAGATGAAAGTATGTGCAATCAGCAAGGCTAGGAAGGCCCCAATAAGTACAGGGAACCATGTGTGAGTTACTCCATTGTTGTTCACCTGCAAAAGGAAAATATTAGAAATAAAATTGGTAATTAAATCTGTTTCATTTTTGTTGAATACCTTCATGAACTCAATCCCAATGAAGACCACAGAAACCACTATTGAAGCCTTTGCCAAGAAAAGAACAAAGTCCCCAATGGAGTTGATGGCAAACACTCTGACAGCATTGGATGCCAGCAATTTGAAAGCCTGTCTGGCAGCCTTGCAGAATGAATATCCATATATTGCTGTAAGGAAAATGACTCATCATCAAAACTCTGCAAAATGATGTCAATTCTGCTAATTTTCACTCAGATCCCCAAGCAATCTTTCTGTTAGGATCAGGCATGTTGCTAGAAAAAATACAAACATGATTATTGACTCACTATACCCCTGCTCAAAGAAGCTTTGTTGGACTTATAGTGAGTAAAAGCCAAAAATGTAGCTCATCTAACTATGAATTTCATTTTTACATCAAGTATCATCTGACCAGCTTAGGATGTTCCCACAAAAACTTCCACCATGCTGCATTTTAAATTTGAATGCAGGGCTTAGGTATGGAAAAATAATTCTTTGCACATAATAAATGTATATTTCATAATAAAGAGTGCAACTTTATCATATAAATCTGCAATATGCCTAATATACATTATAGATTCTCTCCTTGATTGTTATATCAAATATTTTTAGGAGAACCTGAGAGGCCAATTTCTGCACATGATACATCTGACATTGTTTAGAGGAAAATGAAGACAATGTGCATTATTATGGTTAGACAGGACAATATTTAGGTTACAACTATGTAATATGTTCACAAAATTGCGGACGTATGGGCAATAGAGTGAAAATAACTTCACCAAAATGTACATACCAATCTCTATATATGCATTCCTGTTGAGGAATTTCAGAAAATTTTCAAAGCAAGCCAGGCAACATTGGCAACACTTCATGATGCATCCCACAGCACTGTTTTGCTGTCCTATTCTCTTCTGCAGTTGGGACAGCAGGAATCTCACCATCTGAACCAAAGCAACAATGAGGGATCCTAATGCAAGAGATCCAAGGTGGAATCTGAACACTCTCCACATGCTTGACAGAATTGGAAAATGCAATTTTCCTTTGTCCCTAATTTTCAAACAAACATATAATGAAACACATAAAATAAGCACATTACAGTAAATGAATCTTACAACACACTTACCTTGTGAAAAACCAAGAAGCCACTGATCCTGCCACAGTTGTGTGCTGACAAGCAATAATGAATTGAGTCATCCAGAAAAAGGAGAATAAGTGATAAAAGCGCATTCCCTGGAAAAATAAACAGCATATTTTCATTAAACATGTTCAGCCAAACAAAAGTCTTATTGAACCTCACTTTGAAGAAAGGACTTAGTCTGTATTGAACAGTGTCATCATCCAAAATAACAGGATCTCCAGCATTTTCAATGATCATTGCTCCAGCCAGCCAGATTATGACATATATTATTAGTGCAATGCAGGTCTATAAATAAATGACATAATTCTTATAAATTCAAAATAAAAAATCTTTTGCACAGACTCTTACCCAGACTGGTTGTAGAAGCATGAAGGGCATAGAATGAACAGCCTTTCCTGCTTCCTTGAACAAAGCTACCACTAAGGCAATTCTATTCCTCATGAATATAACTAGCAGCAGAACAATAGCCTGTATGTGGAACACCAGTCAGCAAGATTATGTACACATTTGATGAAAATAAAATCTTACTCACTGTAATGATGCTGACAGATATGGCACCAGCAAACAAATAATTAACTTTGTTGGTCTTGTCCCTTTTCTGTGTTTCAGTGTAATCATTTGGATTTTGGTTCATAGCATCCAAGACCTTCTTTTCCTGTGACCAAATAATCCTTTTGGGGGAGTTGAATAAAGATGGGTTTGGTTTCCAGCATATAAGAAAGAATTGATTGGATTTTGAAAATACAGTACCATAGGGCAATGGTGGCAGCAACACTGCCAATGCAAGCAACACCAATGATAATCCAGATTATCCAGAAGGCAAGGAATCGCAGAAGAATAGTGACAAGCAGAGAAAACCCTGAATTGAATTTTTCATTAATGAGAAAATGTAACCATGCCATAATCAAGCCTATATTTATTTAACACACACTCACCAAGAGCGATTAAAGCCATATACAAAATATCCCTCCAACTTTTTTGAATGTCATCAGTTGCTTCCTGAAAAAGTAAAATATTACAAAAATATCCAAAGTGGTATTTAAAAATTTCTCAATGTGGGGGATAAAACCTGGAAAAATGCTTTGAGGGTTCCCAGATTTTGCTTCAGAAAATTAGATGTTTGGTCAGCAATAACTGATGCTTCAGAGGATCCACATCTGTTGAGAATTGGCCTGTATATAGAAAATAAATTATATATTACATAGGTTCATGGGGCATATTTTCATAAATCCACTAACTGTCCTGAAGAACAAGATGGCACACAGTCATCACAAAGCACTCTCAGGCTTGCTTTTGAAAATGCTGGTTGACAGTACCTAAAGGAAATCAAATTCAACAAATATGTAAGTGAGATTTTATAAGTATTTTTAAATTTCAAATATGCAGCTTACGGTTTATTGCTCATGTCTTTTCCACTGTCATTGACTCCCTTAATGACACCATTTGGCTGACCACAAACATTCCCATATTTGTCATACCCATGTATCATCCTGTCCAAGTCTCCCTTTGTACCTGCCCAAACTAGGGTGAAAAGCTGAAAACAAAGGATTCTAATTCTGTAAAAATTGTCATTAGTTTATAATGAAGAATTAAAATCCTTACACCAACTGCAAGAAAGGCCAAGAAGATAATGAGACAAGGGATATCTCTGCATCCTCTGTCCTTTATTGGACCTTCTTCAAGTTCATCAGGAGATCCTTTCTTGCCTGAGGCCTGAAAAAATTAAAAAGATGGAAGTGGGAAACTACAGGCTATTTTTGGAAAGGGGGAGGGTTCTCAGTCATATAAAACGAGTTATGATATGCCATAAATAAATGAGTTACCATATGCAAATGACATTAGGGGTTTATTTCATATACTGTTATTACTAATTGAGAATGAATCAATCTCATCCCATAAACTTAAGCATATTGTTATACAGTACAATACAGTTATACTGTTATACAGTTTGTTATACAGTACAGTACAGTTATACTGTTATACAGTTTGTTATACAGTACAATAATTGTCCATGATCAGTTTCTTTGTTTAGTTTTTAAAGAGGGATATGGCAGGAATGTTTACCAAAAGAAGTGCTCAAAAGTACTCAATTCTTTATAGGAGCTATGCTGAACTTGAACTGATGAAAAAACAGTTTTTATTCTGATTTAACTATCTTTTGATGATGAATCAGAAGGAATTGAAAAATTGAGTTATTTGTTGAGGCTTTTTATTAACTGCTTTCCTATATCATGACTTTTTAAAAAAGGATTTAATAATTTTGATAAGAAAGATGGAAGGTCTGGATTTTTTGTAACAGCTGGGTTGTGCATTTCAGCTACTGTTAGTACTGTATTTGGAACTCTTTGGATTATAATACTTTTCACATCTGAGTGATCTGACACCAGGATGGTAAGACAATGTGCTTTCACAATTCTGGATAGTGGAACTAAATTGCAAGCCTTATGAGAAAATCCAGAAAAATAATTTCCAACCTTCAAAATCTTCACTGAAACCTTATTCAAAGGGCAAGGATCAACTTTTACTTTTTCACTAAAGAAACTATTTGAAAACTGAACAAAAAATAACTCACCCAGTCATTTTCCACCACAGAGTCACCACAACAGCCCATATTTCTCTATATACACTACTCAAAGCAGAAATCTCTGAATGAAATAGCAGCTCTCTCAGGTTCAAATATTTGTTATTCCCAGTCACGCAATAGATCAGATCCGGCTTCCAGCTCAGAGCACTTCCACATTTTGTTTTATTTCCTGTGTGATTTGATTGTCCCAGAAACCAACATATTTATTCACTTGTTTGCATACTAATTTTCAGCATCCTACAAAAAGGGACACAAGCCATAATATCTCAAGCAATCTCAAGACTCACAGCAAGCCTCAGAAATACAGTCTTCAAAAATTAACTTTTCTCAAAAGCAGGGCTCAATGAAATAAAATACCAAAGCATCAAATATAGGCTTCCACCTAAAAATTATAAATTAAAGTTGTATCATCAACTCATTCACCCAGAACAATGATTTCACTTCTGAGAATCTTGAACAAAACAAGAATTTTTGGTAACACTTAACAAATTATTGCAATCATATGCAGAATACCCATGAGAGAACATGTATACTGTATAATGTACAGATTACTGTTGAACCTCTTGGCTTCAAATTTCAAGAGACCAAGAACAAAATTGACTCAGGGAGGTTTCCATTCAGGGAGGTTCCTATATAGTTAGGGAAACAAGCATTTTTTTTTAGAGAACATGAAAGAATAGCTGGAAAACATAAATGATGATATTCTGGGCACTAGAAATTACTTTTCAAATGAGTTCACAGCATGCTGAACTTGAAGGCAGGGGTTCATCTGCCCAATTAGTCTGTCACTTCCTTTCAAAACACATTAAGTTACTTGTGTTATTGATTTTATCTTTCACGTGTAAAGAAAATAATAGCCAAAAAACTGCAGAAAATTCAACTTGAGGAGTTTTGAGAGAAAAAGACTTTGAGTTAGGGATGTTTCTAATCAATTTTTTAAAAGTGAATTCAGACAGGAACTTGAAAACAAATTCAACTTGTGGAGGTATTTGACTTAGCTAGGTTTGACTCATCAAGTTTAAATTGTAATATGTAAAAATTAAAATATTAGAAATTTCATTTTACACTTGAATCACTCAGGACTCAAGAGCAGTATTTTTGTGCCTATACATTTAAGAGGTCTTAAAAAAACCCAGGATTTCAGAAATTATATTTTCTCCCAAATTTGAAGGACTGCACTCAGCAACGCATAAAAGAACACTAGAACCTCCTTAAGAATCATCATGCAAGCAAAATCATGTTCAAAACAAATACAGATTCAAAGGTTCTTGCAGTTTAGCCTCAATGTTTTTCAAGACTTAGTAAAGCAACACTTTTTTCATGCTAACAAAATAAGGTTTCTTCCCAGTTTTGGCTTCATTGTAAAATAATCAGATTTCACTGCTAGATAAGGAACATAACTTATGAACACGCTGTTTTGCTATACAGCTGAATCTTGATAAGTCAAACCTCCCTAAGTCAAATACTCTTCTAAGAAAAATTTATCCAAGTCCCTGTCTGAAATCCATAATTAGAAACAATGCATTAAAAATCTCCTTAACCCAAAGTCTTTTTCTCTCAAAACCTCTGTAAGTTAAATTTTCTGAGGCCTCTTTGGTTATTATTTCCTTGAAACATGAAAGAGAAAATCTATCAAACAAACAATTTTATGCATCTAAAAAAGAAGTTCTGAAAGGCTGATTGAACAAATGAACCCCTGCCTCCAAGTTTAGGAAGCTGTAAACTCCAAACAAATTTAGGCCCAGAATATCCTCATTTTCAATTTAGCGCCATTTTTTTTAAACTTTTTTCTCACAGCAAAAATGTTCAATTCCTACACTTGAAACCTCCAAAAATCAAAACCTCCCTAATAAGTCGTATTTTTTTCCTGGTCCCTAGAAATTTGACTTTTAGAGGTTGAATTAGAAAAAAATCTTTGAATGAAACACCCAAAATATAGATACAAATACCACACACACACACACACACATACCCATCACTGAAAAGACAAACAGCTCAGACCAGCGCCCATGGAAATATTTCGGGAAATAATGAAGCAAAACCCAAAAACTCACCGCAATGCCATGGCTACGGGAAATGTTACCCGGAGTCCCAACCAACCCAACCATATGGGAATACACATATACACGTGCTCATACATAATGGTGCAGGGGGTCAAGTGAAAGCCAAGCCCAACTGAGCGCCAATGTTAAAGGTAAACTGAGCGCTGGCTCAACTGAGCGTCAGCTGAATTAAATTTTATTTAAACAACCAATGGAAAATCCCCAATATATTTCTGTTGAAAAAAACGGTTTAAAAATTTTCCACTGCTGAGTCCTTATGCAATCATTTGTGAATTTCTTCTTGCTTGTTTGGGTGTGTGCGAAATGTCATATTTTTTTTGGCTGAAAATAGCTTTTTGCTGCTAAAAAATGATGAGTTTTACGGGAGCATGAAATTATTGTACAGTATATGGAAAATAGAGCTGAGCAAAAAATGAATAAAACACATCATCAAAACATTGATCTCTATTTTAAATTGGCACTCGATTATGTAATGCTCAGCAGTTTTTCTTCCCAGGAATAAAATTATCTTTCGCTCAGTTTCTCATCATCATGGCTCTGAATCTTGGTTTGCTCAAGTTTTCGGTATAATATATGGCATTTTTATTGAGTAGAGCTCAGCCAAAAATAAGTAATAAATTCTTCGCTCAGTTTTCCATGGCGTTGAATTGTGCAGCACTCAGTTGTGCAGTCTTACATATACGTGCACACACAGCTCACTCCTCACCCTGATAATGCACATGAAAAAAGTCATTGATCGATTTTCTCCCCTTTCCTTGCATTTCTGCCAACACAAAGGTCACGGGCGTGTATATAATATATACGGTATGTCCGGCAGCCATGTCACCATTACAGTCTATATAGAGCGAAAAACCGTTTTGGCAACCACGCAAAATTGCCATGTTCTCGGTCGTCGACATCTCATTATTGTACTGGACGCCATATGTGAAACATTTTGGACCGATATTATGCGTGACGCACTTGCTCCCGTGGCAACGAGGCTAACAATATGGCGATTATTGGTCAACTGAGCTCCAAGAAAAAAAAAAAAAAAAAAAAAAAAAAACACACACACTGTAATTGAATTCGTGTAAAGGACTTTTGTCTAACAGACTTGTCCCTTGCACAAATCAAGTCCGTTAGACGGGGGTTGACTGTATGCCATTACTGTACAACAAAATTTTCAGTACTGTATAACAAACATGATGTCAAAGTCCCAGCAGAAATCCTGTAGAATATACATGTTATAAAAATCTTGTTATAACAAATACTCACCAATTCCAGTATAAAAAACTTTTTTATACATACTGAAAGTCAACTTGGGCTTATTTGAACAACAAACCTAATCTGTTCTTGAAATTGATTTGTTGCTTATAAGGGATCTTTTGTGTAACGCATGCTTTTGCAAAAACTAAATTTTAGGAAATCAATCAATTTGTTCCTACAAATGGAACCATTACAGTTGTATATGGGAAAGATCCCATTCAATTTCTGAATGGTTGTCAATTTGTCTTTACAAATAAAAATCATATTGATTGAATGTTGAAAATTATGATGACTTTTTCACAAACAATGGCTCATTTTCTAAGCTTCTTCAAATTATATTTTAGTTTTTGAATGAGAAGCAATGTGCACAAAATAAAATATCCAGTATTGATCCGGCCCATGAGGAATCTTTTTTTTTAATCTCCCCACCTCATTTCTAAAGCTTCTGTTTTTGAATCTTTTAAACCCGATCCCGTGAACTAAAAGAGATGGAAAATTGTTTCAGGATAAATAAATTAAATGTCCTATTTCATAAGATGTTCACAGGAATTAACAAATTTTATTGGCATGTGCTGAAGGAAGAAATTATGTGCTAGTTCTTTCAACAGAGTTGGAAAGCATGTTTTTTATTTCTTTTCGAAAACCATCATTCCCTTGTTTTATTTAATATTTTTTATCGTGAAACTAGGTCAAAAAGAAAGTGCGTTGGAAAGACTGCCAGGGGGAATTTCCATGGAACGCATAGACTCAACACATTATTGTAGATATCGCAGCTGTGATTTCAGTTCATTTTCGATATTACATAAGGCGATGTTCCACCGTCAATTTTCCTTTTGTTTCAGAAAAAAAGTCATTTCGTCTAACTTTCAAGCTAAAAGAATGTGCATTTTTAAAGTGTTTTTTATTCTAAATTTGCATGGTGGCTGTGTCTGACTTCTTCAACAGAAATTATCATCTGCTGCAGTGGAAAACTAACTTATGCGGTGAACTTGAAGCTGAGTTTACCACATTTTCATGTCATATTTTAAATAATTTCAGATAAGTTAACAAACATAATCTTGTTTAGCCTTAATAAGCAACACTTTCTGAAATCTTAAAGGATCAATATACATTTTTGGCCTTATATGATGTCTCTTCAAAGATTCTCTCTAAATTTTTCATTGAACTAAAACTCATACAGAAACAGGCTGAAGACCTTGTGCTTTGTTTCATGATTTGAAGTGATTGAATGTCTTGAGGGGAGTTGGGTTGGGTGGATGTGAATGCTGAAAAGCGGCAAATAAAGTTTTCTGTTCATTCATTCATAATAAGCAAAAATCCCTTTGCTTGCTCAAGTCAAATTGGCAGATTGATATTTGGCACACAAATAAACGCAGCATAATTGAACCCAAATTCAGTCAGTCCAAATTTCAAATTTTAGCCTGTATTAATTGTATTAAAAAAAATAAATGGATTTTTGTGTGTCACAGAAAAACCAGGGTGAACATCTCATGCTGGGATTCATTAAAATAAATGTAAAAATTCACCTTTATAATTTGATAATCTGCATGACCTGGATTTTTTTTTGAACATCAGGAAAATAATTGCAGGGTGCCATAATCAACAGAAGTGAAGTAGATTTAAACTGAGAGTCCTTGAAAGAATATTTCTCCTGGGCATCATCTTCATCTTGTGGATGAAACTCAAGTTTTTGAAAGACATCCTTCACCAGAGGACTTCCCCAAGAACCACATTCTCTGACAATTATTCAATTGACAAGTAAGTTATTTACCATAGAATGATTTTTATGAATAATTGTTGGGTACCTGCCATGCCAGTGTGATATACTCCTCATTATTTGAGACAAGAATAAATGGGGTGGGAAAACTGCCCAACAATAAAAAATGATTAGCCCAGAACTTTCTTCCAAGGTTTTCCTCCCCAGTGCTGTCTTTGACTCTGATTAT